TTATCCATGTCTTCTCCAACACTTGGACTAGTGAAGCTGAGCGTATTTTTATGTCCTTATTGGAATTCCTTATTTTTATGTCCTTGTTGTGTATCTTCTCTGGTGAATTGTCTGTTCATGCATTTTACCCATTTTTGAATTTGATTGCTTTGCTATTGTAAGTTGTTCTTTATGTAGTCTGGATACTAATTCTTTATCAGGCACATGATTGGTAAATATTTCCTCCTATTCTGTGCATTTTCTTTTCACTCTCTTAATAGTGTCCTTTGAAGTAAAAAAGTTTTTACATTTTGATAAAGTCTAATTTGTTATTTTTCTTTTATGACTTGTGCTTTTGGTAACCAGCCAAGAAACCACTACCAATTTTAAAGTCCATAAGTTTCCTCAGCATTTTCTTTTAAGAGTTTTATAGGTTTAACTTCTTAACATAAGTTCTTTAAGCCATTCTGACTTAATTTTTGTATAGGATGTAATAGAAGGGCAAGAGTTTTTTTATAGCATCTTTCTTTTGCATGTGGATATCCATATTTCCAGCATCATCTGTTGGAGTGGGGCTGACACATTTGTAAGGTGCAGTGAGCACTAATACACGGGGGCACCATGCATTTATCTGTCTTTCTTCTAGAGTTGTTTTGAGAAGGTTTTCACTGACAACCCAACAGCAATGAATACATATGACTTCTTATAAAATCAAATTCAGGTAAAATTATAAATATTAAAATGTTAAGAATGGAGAGAGACTGGAACATCACAAGACAAGCTGAATCATAGGCTGAAATGGAGGGTTTTTGTTTACCTTGCTAGAAATTCTGTTGGCCCACAATCTCTTATGCTTATTGCATGAGAAGCCACAGAGTGGGGTGAGAGTTCACATAACCAGTCCCTGGTTTTCTGCTTCAGAAACAATTTCAAACTCTGCTTAGGCAAAGTAAGGAAATTAACTATGTGAAGTTGGCATCTACAAAGTCAGAGAGTGAGTAGTAAGTTTCAACATCAGGCGTCCAAGGAGATTCTACCTTTTTACACAGAAATGGCCTCACTACGCACTGCAGAATGGAGAAGGTCCCTTCAGGGGAACTTCATGTAAAACCCTATATGGTGTAGGGGTTTCTGCTGCAGCTCTAAATTGAATTGCAGCTGTTCTTTCTAACTACAGGTCTCACAAAATTTTATAGCTTCAATGATTTCACCTGGGCCGATATTTTGCTTTTTTGATATTGTTTGCTTTGAGCTGCTGCCTGGGGCTTAGAAAAGTGACTTAGATATTTTGCCAAAATGGTATTTCTTTGATGGAATTTGAAATCCATGAACACTCCGCTTTCCTGCTGTATCCCCAGAGCAGGTTGAGTACTTGGCACTTCTCAGAACTTCACTAGAAGTGGTAGAAGATTTGGATTTAGGGCCTCCCTCTATCTCTACCCTTTCTTTGATTCAGAGGATCACAAGCTGTTGGGGGAACAGTGGTGTCTTGGGCCCCTCTGATCAGATTTATATTAATATTCAATGTCCTGTGAGGAAGTCACATGTGCAGGTAACATCACTTCTGCATGCAGTGTCATGGGAGAGTGGGTTCCTGGGCCCCAGGTTAAGAGCCTAAGCACTACTGGCACAGAGCTAGAGCTCTGGGCGGGAGGGATGGCTGGGATGGAACCTAGTCCTGTCCTTTAGTCCTGGGGCCTTTTCACTCCCCACACGGTGGGTGTTGGGCATCTGGCGGGTGACGATTTTGATGGAGTTGAGGGAGGACACTGGCTGGAACTGGGAGAAGCAGAGTTGGAGAAATAATTAAGATGGACATTATTTTTCTTTTCTTTTCTTTTTTTTTTTTTTTTTTTTTGAGACGGAGTTTTGCTCTTGTTACCCAGGCCGGAGTGCAATGGCGCGATCTTGGCTCACTGCAACCTCCGCCTCCTGGGTTCAGGCAATTCTCCTGCCTCAGCCTCCTGAGTAGCTGGGATTACAGGCACGTGCCACCATGCCCAGCTAATTTTTGTATTTTTAGTAGAGACGGGGTTTCACCATGTTGACCAGGATGGTCTTGATCTCTTGACCTAGTGATCCACCCGCCTCAGCCTCCCAGAGTGCTGGGATTACAGGCGTGAGCCACCGCGTCCGGCCGTATTTTTCTGAGTGTAAGTTGTGGCTTGAAATCTAGAGAGCCTGAAGGAGTATCCCCTACCCAAACCTGTTTTTCCCTTTCCCACAAGCCTTGTTTAGCCACAGGCCCAGTGCCAACACCAGGGGGCACACACAGACCATGAAGGCACCGCGCAGCTGGGTTGTTTGTGGTTGGCTCCTGGATACCTGACGTAACCAGGGGAGCCAAGACCCTGCAGCCAGGTGGCCTGGATTCAACCTACAGCTCTGATCCTACTGACACTTTCCCTCCCGGTGCTTCAGTTTCTTCACCTGTGAAATGGTGAGGACATTACAGCATTTACCTCTGGGGTGGGTTTCTCAACAGCAGCACTATTAACAATTCGAGACAGAGAATCCCTTTTGGAGTGGGCTGTCCTGTGCATTGTGGGAGCTTTGCCAGGAGCACCCCACTCACCTCCTCCCACCAATCCCCATATGACAACCGAAAATATCCCAGGATTTTTAGGTCCCCTTTGGGTCTGGAAGCTGCACGTAGTCAGGCACTTTCCCACCTGACACTTCATCTCATCTATGAGATGGTCTGTGAGCCTTATACTTTAGTCCAAATAAGGCCACTTTAAAAGAAGGATTCTGTCCATCTTTTAAACAAATCCATTTACTTCCTTTATCTCTGCATTCAGTTAATCCTTGCACACCCTTTGTTTAGTATATCTTGAAATGTATCAGTTCCGATTCAAGTAGCAATTCATGATACCTGCTCTGATCTCAGTAGAGCTAATTCCTTCAGCACAGGGAATGTGTTCTCAGTTCTGCTGCGGATGATGAAAACCAATTTATTTTACTTTACTTGTTTGAGATGTTGTTCCTCATCTGTCAAATGTAAATGTGGACATGGCTTGAACTAGCAAGTGGTTTTATTTCTTCATTCCCCTGATATTTGTTGTATTCTTACTTCAAGTCAAATACATGGCATGACATTGCTTCCTTGATCACACCACATCAGATGAGAAAATTAGACATTATAACCAGCTATGGGGGCACACACCTGTAGTCCTAGCTACTCGGAGGGCTGGGGCAGGAGAATTGTCTGAGCCCAGGAGTTTGAGGTTACAGTGAGGTATGATATCACCAATGCATTTCAGCCTGGGCAACAGACCCTGTCTCTGGAAAAAAAGGGCATTGTCAACTGTCTGCGTGGACTCTGTCTCACAAGATCCACGTCCTGTAATTTTTCTAAATGCCATCTCTGTGTGGTTTTCATGAATGTGTGTCTGGTGTTTCTTTTCTATCCTTTTAGTTTCAGCGTTTCTGTACCTTCTGCTGAAATTATGGCTTTTGGAAACAGCCTACAGCTATTTATTTATTGACTTGTTTTTCCCCCTCTGCACTATTTGTCTTGTCATTGGAGTGTGTGAGTCCATTATGTTTAATGTCATTGTTGACCTCATTGGGCTTAAGTCTGTACATTGTCATTTGCTGCCTTCTAATATTATGTCTTTTTGGCTCAACTATTTTTTCTTCTGTTGACTTCTTTAGATGAATAAAAAAAGTTTCCATTACTATAGTCTTCTGAATAAGTGTTCTAGTTACACCTTGTCTTATTATTTATTTAATTATCTGAAAAAGCACAATAATCAGTGACTTCTTATAACCAACAGCAGACCATAACTTCCCTGACTTCCACCTACCTGTGCAGACAGCCCAGGGGAGAATCAGTGCTCTGTCTCTGAGACACAGGGGGTGGAAGCAGGAGAGTAACTGGGTGGTGAAGCTGTAGCTGCAGAGGCATCCGGGCCCCTCACCTGCACTCCTCGTAGATGTCTCCTCCACTGAATGCCCGCGATGCCCTCTCCTCCGTATGCTCCTGCCAGAGTCTCCCCGTCTCCACGGACAGCAGCTCCACCCTTCTACTCACTCAGTCCAACACTGTGGATGTCCTTGATTCTTCTTTCTCAGATCACATACACAATTTATTAGCAAATGCTATGATGAAACAGAATCCCATCACTCTCATTATTTCCACTGCTCACATCCAGGTCTAGGTAACCGACATCTCTGTCCTGAAATGCTACATGCCTTTCCCACTGTTTTCTCTACTGCCTTGCTTGTCCACCACCTCTCAGTTCTGTTCTCAGTAGAGCAGCCAGAGAGAAGCTTTTACATAATGTGTCCTACCATGTCCTACTTTTCAAAACTGTATCCTAACACCCCATATCATTCAGAGCAGGAAAAAACAACAACAACAACAACAACGCTGCGCACACCCTCCAGGCCTGTCCTGGCCACACCTCAGAACTCATCTCAATTACTCTGTCCAGCCCTTCTGGGGATGGCTTGGGCAAAGCAAGGGTCTGGGTGCAGGCACCAGCACCTCCAGGGCCATGGTTATGAGGAAAATTAAGACAATTAAGACCTGTGGTAGGGAACTGCTGTCCAAGTCCTTGAACGTGCTGCCCAAGTGAACTGCCACGGCAGCGTCTCTCAATCTACCCCTTCCTGTGACTGCCCCAGAGCCTGTGGGGGAGGCCACTGTGCAGGGGAGCTAGGTAACAGGAGACCCACCTGAGGCTCAGCCCTTGCCTTCAGCCCACCTGTGGGGGAGTTCACTGCCTGGGGTACCCCCACTTGCACATGCCTTCAGCTACAAAGTAACTGTGTGTGTGTGTGTGTGTATGTGTGTGTGTATCTGTGTGTGTGTGTGTGTGTGTGTGTGTCCCAAAATAAAGCCACAATTAGCTCTGCCAGCTGTGAAAAAAAAAATCTTTCTTTGAAGGTCACATTTGAAAGAAGGCCCACACTGACCACAGTACAACAGCCACCTCCCTGTCCCCACAGCCCACACTCTGCATCACCCCCCACAGCACTTGCCACCTTCTAACACGAGCATTGTCCTTCTGTACTCTGCTCATAGTGTATCTTACGTCTGCCTCTTCTCCCTAGAACGTATGCACCAGAAGGCCAGAAATTTCTCTGTTTTTACTTTAAAGATGTTTTCCAAATGCAAAAACAGTCATTTACCTAGCAGACAACAAATGTCAGTTCAATGAATGATCACCATGGAGCACCTCCTTATTTTAAAGGCAATATCTTTTATTAATGTAGCCTCAGGCCAAATGCTGTTTCGTGGCAGCTACAGCACAACATCCTCTCATGCCAACATCAGTGCCACCAGTGCTTTTGTCACCAGTGCTGCCTGTGTGCCCCCTTCCCCTCATCCCTCCTCCCACACCAACCCTCCTGCACATGGCAGCATGCAATCATATGTCTCTCTTCAGGAAAGATAATCCTAGGATTGTAAGTCCAATCTTCCAACTGCGTATAAATCTAAACTGGACTCTGTTTTACAAATCCATGGGTTTGGATTGGAGCCTGCCCTAGGATTACTACAAATCAGGGCAGGAAGAAAAGTCGAAGAGAAAGCAGAAGGAGTTCCAACAGAAAGTTACCTACGATGAGAAACCTTGGGTCCCCTCTTCTCTGCAAATTTCAGAATCTGGTTCCTGTAAGAAGGCTGGTGAAAAGATAGAAAATACAATCCAGGAAGAGCCCTGGAAGGAGGGCAAGCACTGGACGGGTCTGAAAACTCAGTCCCTTGATACCACAAGGACTTCTGTGTGCAGAGACTGTACTAAGTGACATCTGAGTCCCTGTGATCACAGGTCCTGGTGGTACAAGGTTCTACTGAAGGACCAGGGCCATTGGAGCAGCAAAGATGACCCAGCCAAGCAGCGACCACATAAAGCCCACAGCGGACTGACTTCCCACTGGCCACAGCTCCATCTATGCTCATCCCCTGCAACAGATCAGTAGAAGAACCACATAAACTCTGGAAGGTTCTCAGGTCTTCCATTTATTTTGTCTCTTAAATTTTAGTAATCTTCTCCTTTAATTAACTCATTAACCTCTCATGGCAAGAATTTGAAGAAGTAAGTTTATACTCAGATTCTAATTTTAATAGGGAAGCAGGAAGTTGTAGCTCAGTGCAGCACGAAGTTCAGACAGAGATAAAGACATCCAAGCCCCATGTCTCTGGAACAGGAAAGATCATTGGGTTGAAACAACATAGGGCCGTGCGGGGAAGGGGGTCATGGAGGACATGGGGGTGAACTGGTCCCCCACCTTCTCACATTATACTAACAGGGATGAAGACACATTTGGACACCTTTGCAGAAAGAGAATTCAGGGTACTCGAAGTCACAAAAGGGAGGCATGAACAAATCTTGCTTATCAGTCCCACACAAGGCGGCTATCTCACACTATAGAGAAAATATTCATGAACAACTTCAGATTAGTCACAGTGACAGGTGACACTCTGAACCGCCCATCGCATACTCAGGACATCCAAGTCAAAGAAACCCCATAGCACACTCGCATTCCCTCTGTTCCCCACAATACCCCACTTACATCAGGGCCCCTGCCCCCAAGTGTCACCTTTATAAGTAATGAGAGACACATCAAAGCCCTGGGCAGTGTCAATGACTGCGGTAGAACACAAAGAGGATCTGGTCAGAGCCCACAGGAGATGCAGCTAGAGGAGGAACTGTGGGCTGGGCCAGCTTCCCCTTGGGCTCCCAACCACAATATCCCAATGATCTCAGGGTTCAGCCCCCTTCATACTTACTTGCAATCTGAGTGTAGCTCTCTCTGTTTCTATCTGTGGGAAGAAAATGTCCTGTGAGAGGCCAGAAAGGAGGCAGGGCTATAAGGCCCTAGAGCAACCCTCTAGTCTTTGATCCCAGAGAAGCTTCCAGAAATGTATAATTGCAATCCAGGGCAGGATCAGAAAATAAGAAGAAAGCAGGTGTGGGTCCTGGACCAACTGTCCTCCTAAGTTTGTCCTCAGCAGGGACCTTCCCCTGTGATTTGTGACTGTTGACAATCAGATCCCCACCACCACAGTCTCTGAAGTGAAGAATCTGTCTTTCATTTTCGTTTTACAAATGAGTAAGGGTTGTCACACAGGGTACCAAGCTGGGTAGGCCCATGTGTGTGGACGGTGCTTCCCAGTGAGGAGACAGGGCACACTTCTACCTGGGGCTCAAAACCCCCACTAGGACAAGAAAACTCAGACCCCACTCCTCACCCCTTCCCTAACTGAGATCTTCTTCCTCCACATCACAGCAGCAACCACAGCTCCAGTGACCACAGCTGCAAGGACAACCGGGCCAGCAACTATGTCCACAAGGGGGACGGTGGGCTGGGAAGATGACTGTGAGAAAGGAGGGGAAAATGAGGGGCCCCAGGCCTCAGTCCTGATTCTGCTGAAGGGCTCCAGAAGGGCTCCTGCTTTTCCTGAGAAAAACATGGCCTCTCATCCTTCCCTTTACACCATCTCATTCCTTACCCCATCTCAGGGTGAGGGCCTCGGGAAGCCCCTCGTGCTGCACATGGCACGTGTATCGCTGCTCCTCCCCAGAAAGCACCACCACACCCACCCACTTCTGGAAGGTTTCATCCCCTGCGGGCCTGGTCTCCACAAGCTCCGTGTCCTGGGTCTGCTCCTCCCCATCCCTCTGCCAGGTCAGCGTGATCTCTGCAGGGTAGAAGCCCAGGGCCCAGCACCTCAGGGTGGCCTCATGGTCAGAGATAGGGTGGTGGGCAATGTGTGCCTTTGGAGGATCTGAGAAGAGGCAGAAAATTCAGACACTTTGCACTCCTCATGGGACACCAAGCAGTGCTCATGTGACCATCCTGAGAATGGACATGACACCTGGGATAATCTCCTATTCCTTGCAAAGTTCGAGTCTCTGAGGGGGAACAGGGACTTCTGGCCCTGACCTAAGTGGAGGCCGAGGGACTTAGAAGAGCTGGAATCAGATCACCACGCACATTTTGTGTGAGGCAGAGAAGGCCTGAGAGCAAAAGTCACGGGGCCCGAGGCTGTTGCAGGGGTCAAAGGGGACCGCTGATCAGTACTTCAGGGACTGTCTTCCCTTCCATTCCCTCAAAGACTACATCCCTTAACTGTCCCAGCGAGCAGAGTGGATACTCAGAGTCACTCTGATACAGAATCCAGGAACCCGGAGGATTCTTCCCACTCAGGACCAGAGGGAGGGCGATATTCTAGCGTTGGTCCCATTTTCCTCCCCTCCTGGAGGGAAGCCAACCCAGGAGATATATAGGAGATGGAAAGCCAGGAAGATTCTTGCCACACAGGACCAGCGGGAGGGCAATATTATAGCGTTGGTCCCTTTTTCCTCCCCTACTTGTGCGAGGCCAGCCCGGGAGATCTACAGGAGATGGTGAAGGCGCCCTGTGGCCCCTGGTACCCGCGCGCTGCAGCGTCTCCTTCCCGTTCTCCAGGTATCTGTGGAGCCACTCCACGCACCCGCCCTTCAGGTAGGTGCTGAACTCCTCTGCATATTTTTCTGCCTTATACATGCGCTGGGTGATTTGAGCCGCTGTGTCCGCCGCGGTCCAGGAGCGCAGGTCCTCATTGAGGGAGCTGTAGTCCTTGCCGTCGTAGGCGTGCTGGTGATACCCGCGGAGGAAGCGTCCATCGGGTCCCACATCGCAGCCATTAGTGCCCTGGAGGGTGTGAGACCCTGGCCCCGCCCCCGCGGTCAGTCCCGCCCACCGAGTCCCGCCCACGCCCAGACCAACCCGCGGGGATTTTGGCCTAAACTGAAATGAAACCTGGTAAAGACGCCTGGGGCTCTCCCGGGTGCAGAATCTGGACAAGTCCCCTAGTTTCGGGATGGATCTCGGACCTAAGACTCGGGGAGACCCAGGCCCTCGGTGGGGATGGGAAGGGGTTGTGACCTGTTCCCCCAGCCGGAGTCGCTCACCGCCCTCGCTCTGGTTGTAGTAGCGGAGCAGTTTCCGCAGGGCCACACGGTCAGTTTGTGCGCTGGCCTTGACGGCCCATGTGTCCCAGTTCCAATACTCCGGCCCCTCCTGCTCCACCCACGGCGCCCGCGGCTCAGCTCTAGGAATCGCCGCATCGCTGTCGAACCGCATCAACTGAGTGTCTTCCACCCAGCCCACTGCCACGTACCTGTATCGGGACTCCCCGCGGCCGGGCCCGGAGACGGCGGTGCTCAAATACTGTACCTCAAGGAGTGGGAGCCTCGGGCGAGGAGGGGCTGAGACCCGCCCGACCCTCCTCCCGGCCTGGCTCCCTGGGTCCTGCGCCCCGGTCCGGCGGGCCACTCGCTCCTCCCCACAGAGGCCGTTTCCCTACAGACCCCGCACTCATCCGCCCAGATCTCGGTCAGGGCCAGGGCCCCCTAGAGCAGCAGGAGGAGGGTTCGGGGAGCCATGACCCCAACCTCCGCATTTGGGGAGACTCTGAGTCCTCGTGGTGTGTGGGGACTTTAGAATCGGGACCGCGGCGACACTGGCTTCTCTAGAAACCCGACACCCAAGGGGAGTGAGAACTGAGTCCGCCTCGTGAGTATCCTGGAAGAAGGATCCTACACAAGTTGGGGAAAAGAGAAACTCTGTGGAGATGGGGAATCCAGTCAAATGCTGAGCCTCCGCACCCCAGACCTGAACCATTGAGAGCCACGTCTGGGGTGGTGGGACTTCACCGTGAACCTCCTCCTCCTGTGCAGGGTGTGCCTTAGGATCTCCCTGAGCCTTCGCCCCAAGGCTGAGAAACCAGGCAGAAAGCCTTCGGAACCCAGTCTCTCTCCTTTCGCTTTTCATCCCAGAATCCCTGTCACTGGACTGAACTTTCTGCCTCCCACTCTATAGCTGGACTCCTCTGGACTCTTTTGAGAGAAAACTCACTCCAGGAAGCTTGGCACCAGAGAGTGAGCTTGGACTGGGAATGGAGGTGTTCAAGCAGTTTTTCTTCTTCTTTAAATCTGGAAAACTTGTGCCTGAGCGCATGAGATAGAACGGAGATCAGTTTCCTTTTAATTAGCTGCAGTGAATAGTAGAATCTAGGTAACCTTTGAATGATCAGGAATCTTATCTGTAAAAATTGTTACTTTGGCCCCTTGATAAAATGTGTCTAAATAGATTACAACCGACAACTCACAGAGCTTCTAAGTTTTGCTTTCCTGGACTGTGTATCTGTGACTCTTGCTGTAGTTTAAAATTACCTTCATTCCACAGCCCTGAGTTTCTGTGTGAGTCCAGGACATCTCCTCAGTACAAAGTAGCACACGGTGTTACCCTATGTTGCAACCAGGAGCCAGTACAGACTTCATTCACCTCACAGTCGCAAGTGTTCAATGCAGTCACCATGCCCTTCACCAGTGCTCATGCACTGCCTGTTTTTAGGAAGTGTCCACATCTAAGTGCTGTGCATATTTCATAGGAACACTTAGTATTTTTTAAATCTGATTAACGTAACAGGCGATTAGTTTTTAGGCAGTGCCACATAAAGTATTAAAGGCCAACTGCAAAGAACATGTTGAGAGGCTCTGTAGATGGATGTATTAAAAATCTGTAAAACAATGTGTTTAAACCTAAGAATTCTGCTGCTTTTGAATTCTTTCCTCTGCTCCTTTTTCTCACCTCCTGCCTCTCCAGCCCTTCCCTCCATCCCCCTCATCCCTCTCATCCCTAAGCCCTTCCTCTCCCCTTAACCCCCACCACTCTGTCACTCCTGAATAGTGGCTCTAGCACTGTCCCATTACCTGTTATGTGAGTGTTCTCTGCACAGTAATCCTGCTACTGTGAGTCAGAGTGTGTCATTTCTCCACCTAAAACACTCCAGTGGCTCCACCATGGTCTTGTGAAGCTTCTAGAATGTCAGGCATGTGAGCCTATGAGGGCATACCTGCTTCATTGTAGGAACTAAATTAATTTTTGTTGACCAAATGAATGAAATATGAATGTATTAAATTGCACTACAGAAAATTATAAAATGTAAAACACTGAAAAAGTTAAGATTCTATTTTATGTAACTAGTGTGCATATCAGTTCATCAATTCATTCCATGAATCTGTTGAGCCTGTGTTTAAATTTTATAAGACTGCATAACAAATTATCGCAAACATTGGCTTTAAACAACACACATTTATTGTATTCATTTATTTATTTTTGGAGACAGAGTCTCCCTCTGTCTTCTAAGGTGAAGTGCAGTCACATGATCATGGCTCACTGCAGCCTCAAACTCCTGGTCTCAAGGGATCCTCCTGTCTCAGTCTTCAGAACAGCTATGACTGCAGGCAAGTGCCACCACGCCCAGCCAATTAAAAAAAAAAGAAGAAGAAAGTTGTAGAGAAGAGTTTCTCACTATATTGTCCTGGCTGGTCTCAAACTCTTGGCTGCAAGTGATCCTCCTATGTCAGCTCCTCAAATGTTAGGGTTACAGGTGTGCACGACCACTCCTGGCCAAGCAACACCCCTTGAGCTGTTTATAGTTCCTGAGTCAGAAGTCTGGGCAAGATGTGGATGGAATCTCTGTTCTGGGCTTCCCAAAGCTGTATTTTCATTTAGAATCCTCCTTCAGGCTTATACAGAAGTGGCAGAAGTAAGACTGATGTCCCCGTTTGTTGCTGGCTGTCAAGGTAGAGAACGGGGAGGGATGTGCTCAATTCCTGGTGCCCACCAGCGTTCTTGCCTACACAGCTCCTTCATTTTCAAAGCCCACAGTGGAGGAAATCCCTCATGCTGACTCCCTCTCACACTGAATCTCTATGCTCAGGAAGAACCTAGTCCTTTCGAGGGCTCATCTGATTGGGACAGTCCAAGCAAGATAAACCCAGCCTAAAGTCAACTAAGTGAGGCCCTTAATTATATCTGCTGAATCCCTTCACAGCAGCAACTACGTTAGAGTCGGTTGAATAACTGAGGGAAGGTGAGTGAGCAGGAGGTGGTTGTTGGGGCCCATCAAAGAATCAGCCTAGAAGGATTGGATCTTCCTTTTGTGTTTAATTGGACACAGCTGGAAATTGACGTTCACGTAAAGTGATCATTGTGATCAGTAACAAAATACATCCTCTTCAGCTATGGAAATTCTCCATACCTTTTACAACTAAGTTATATATTTCAAATCTTATAGTTAATTTAGGCCAGGTGTGGTGGCTCATGTCTGAAATCCTAGCACTGTGGAAGGCAGAAGATGGCAGATTTGTTGACTCCAGAAATTCAAGTTCAGCCTGGGCAGCATGGTGAAACCCTCATCTCTGAAAAAAAATTAGAAAATTAGCCAGTCATTGTGGTTCATGCCTGTAGTCCCAGATACTCAGGAGGCTGAGGTCAAAGGATCCCTTGAACCCAGGAGGCCGACCCTGAAGCGCATGATGATCACGCGTCTGCACTCCAGCCTGGGTGATGGAGTGAGACCCTGTCTCAAAAATAATAATAATGACCGTTAAATGTATGCTCTAAATGAAGAAATCCCCCAAACAGGCTTTCTCTGAACAACATGGCTGTTTATTCACCCGGGTATGGGTGGGCTGAGTTTGAAAAGAAAGCCAGCGGAAGGCGGTGGGATAGGAATTGGTTTTATAGGTTTGGGGTAGGCAGTGGACAGTTACAGAAGTTACAGTTCAGGGCAACTTTTGCAGGTTGGGAGAGGGTTGTAGGGTCTGGAGTCACGAGGTTGACCAAGGTTGTTTACAAAGTCCAGTTGCCTTATCAGTTGAGGGTGGAATAAGAAAAAATAGAAGAATGTCTCAAAGTTAATTAAGCACCACAGGGGTTGTTCATTCTTCTCCTTTTTATGGTTTTCCAGTTACTTCACACTTTCTAGTTCCAGGAACTCATCTGGGGTGTATGTGCAGTTCACAGAGGTTACCACGGCATAGTCCATGGTACAGCCAGTCAGCCTGAAAGGCTTTACATTGATGATGATAAATGTATGGCAAATGTAAATTAATGTACAGCAAATGTAAATTAATACATCCTCTGTCGTGAAAATGTATTAGTCATTTACTATTCTATAACAAATTATGTAAAGCTTAGCATTTCAAAACAACAAATACTCATCATCACCCACAGTTTCCAATGGTCAGGAATCTAGGAGAGGTTTCCCTGAGTGCTTCTGGCTCAGTTCCTCTCACAAGGCTGTAGTCCAGTTGTCAGCCAGGGCTCCATCATCTGAGCGTTTCACTGGGGCTGAGGATTCACATGAAACATGGCTCAGTCACATGGCTGTTGGAAAAGGCCTAGTTCCTTGTTGTCTGGTCTCAGAAGTCCTCAGTTCTTAGCCACATGGACCTTCCTGCAGGGCAGCTCACAGCACAGCAGCTGGCTTCCCCCAGAGCTCATCATCCCAGAGACAGAGAGAGAGAAGGTGGAAGCTGCAGTAAGTTTTATGTTCTACTCCCAGAGTCACAAACTGTTATGTCAGCCCTACTCTGTCAGTTAGAAGTTGTAGAGAACAGTTATAGCCTGTTCTTACATTGCTATAAAGAAATACCTGAGACTGGGTTATTTATAAAGGAAAGAGGTTTAATTGACTCACAGTTCTGCATGGCTGAGAAGGCTGTCCCAGGAAACTTACAATCATGGCAGAAGTGGAAGCAAACATATCCTTCATGTGGTCGTAGGAGAGGGAAATACAGAGTGAAGGGGGAAGCCCCTTATAAAACCATCAGATCTCATGAGAATTCATTCACGATCATTAGAACAGCACAGAGGAACTGTCCCCATGACCCAATCACCTCCCATGACGTCCCTCCCCTAAGAAGTCGGGATTACAATTCATAAGACAATTCAAGATGAGATTTGGGTGGGAACTCAGAGCTAGGCCATATCAGAAGTGCATCATTAAATCCAAGCCACATTCAAGAGATGGAATTAAGCTGCACCTCTGGAAGGGAACAGTATTAAAGGATTTGCATGTATGCTAAAAGCAAAATTAAAACTATTGTTTCAGGATTTTGTAAATCAAAGACTTCTTTTATCTAATTATTTTCTTTAATGCTTTAACCTTGTTTTTTAATTTAACTTAATTTAATTTTAAGTTCCAGGGTACAAATGCAGGATGTGCAGGTTTATTACATAGGTAAACATGTGCCATGGTGGTCTGCTGCACCTATCAACCCATCATTTAGGTATGAAGCCTGGCATGCATTAGGTATATTTTTTAATGCTCCCCCCCAACCACCTTCCCACTACAGGCCCCGGTGTGTGTTGTTTCTCTCCCTGTGTCCATGTGTTTTCATTGTTCAGCTCCCAATTATAAGTGAGAACATGCAGTGTTTGGTTTTCTGTTCCTGTGTTAGTTTGCTGAGGATACTGGCTTCCAGCTTCATCCGTATCCCTGCAAGGACTTGATCTCATTTCTTTTTATGGCTGCATAATATTCCATGGTGTAGGTAGATGTACCATATTTTATTTATCCAGTCCATCATTGATGGGCATTTCGGTTGATTCCATGTCTTTGCTATTGTGGGTAGCACTGCAATGAACATACATGTACATCTATCTTTATAATAGAATGATTTCTATTCCTTTGGGTGTCTACCCTGTAACGGGATTGCTGGGTCAAATGGTAGTTCTGGTTGTAAATCTTTGAGGAATGATCACACTGTCTTCCACAGGGTTGAAGCAATTTTCATTTTCACCAACAGTGTAAAAGCATTCCTATTTCTTTGCAACTTTGCCAGCATCTGTTGT